ACGCTGGATGTCTGGGCTTCTCTACCCCCTTTGGCTTCTCTCCCCCACAGTGGGCCCCCGCTGGCGACCCCCAGGCAGGCACCACTCCTCGTCCACTCTCCGCCAGTGCTCATCCATTCTCCTCCCTCCTCGCCTCTCGTCCCTCTTCCCCTCCAAGCGCGCCCCCCATCGCACCCCCCCCGCGCAGGCACCTGGACCAGCCACCCTGTGCCTGCCGCGGCGCCGTCTGCCGGCACCGGCGACGAGCATACGGCCCGCGCCGCGAGCGCACTCGGGCGCGCGAGCGGCCAGTTCGGAGCAGCGCTTTCGGCGGCCCTCGGCGGCTCTCGGTCCCAGCGGAAAGTGAGGGGGAGGAGAGGGAGGAGAAGGACGAGGACTACCAGGAGGAGGAGAGGGAAGGAAAGAAGAAAGGGAGGAGGAGGAGGACGAGGAGGAGGAGGAGGAGGAGGAGGACGAGGATGAGGAGGAGGAGAAGGAGGACGAGGACGGCGACGATGACGGACGACGCTAGGGAGGAAGATTTTGGAGGAGAAGGAGGAGGAGGAGGAGGAGAAGGGAGGAGGAGGGAGGAGGGAGGAGGGAGGAGGGAGGAGGGAGGAGGGAGGAGGGAGGGGGGAGGAGGAAGAGGAAGAGGAGGAGGAGGAGGAGGAGGAGATGGAGGAGCAGGAGGCAAGGGAAGGCAAGACCTGGGCAGCTGCTGTCTCTGCTTTATGGCCCACCCGTGTGAGTGGGAGCTCTAGCCACGACCATTGCTGCTGGTGTGATCAATGCGCTGCTCGGGCAAGCCTGCGGGACCTTCTAACCCAACGTGGGTCCTCTAGGGCCGCTTTATCACGAAGGCGCACCGCACTTCGTTCAACGCGCACAGATCTGAGGCGTAGTGCACTTGGGCCCATAACCTCCACCTGGGGGCCGACGGGTGCGGGGGAGGCGATCAGGGAACGCGGGGCCTCCAGAAAGCGAAACTATCGAAACAGGACAGTGCGCTGCCACTTTGGGCCGCAAGTCGACGCTGTGCGTGCGCCTTCGTGCTACATAGGTCGCCTCGTCCACCCCCACCGTCCCTGCTCCCGCCTCCCCCACTCTCCTCCCAATCAGCAACAGGAAGCCGACAGGCTTGGAAAATATTCAAGAAACGCACGGTTCTGCGTATCGCTGCGATGACAGAGATTTTCTCATCTACACAGTATTGGCAGAGTCTCCCCACTCACTCAGCAATGGCAGAGACTTCCCATTCCAATATGTGATATGTGTGACTGCATTCGCTGTTGCACTAACGGATATCTCCACATCGTGCTGAATAGCAAGAGTTCACTTCACTGTATTGCAAGAGACATTCCTTCCCATTCAGAAGTAACATATCTTCGCCCATCCAATACACAAACCAAAGACTCTCCCGTCCACTCGGATATGTCGATATTTCCCATACCCATCTGAAGTACCTATACGACCACCCTTCGGGTGATCAGGAGGTTCGGGAGGGGGGGAGGAACCAACGTCTCACACGATCGGTCTCATTATCGATCTCACTATCGGTCTCGCTCGATCGATATCACTCGATCGATCTCACAATCGATCTCACTCGATCTATGTCATTCGATCGATCTCACAATCGATCTGACTATCGATCTCACAATCGATCTCACTATCGATCTCACTGTCGAGCTCACAATCGATCTCACATTCGGTCTCACCATCGATCTGACTTTCGATATCACAATCGATCTTACAATCAACGTCATCATCATCGTCATCAACGTCATCAACCTCATCATCACCGGGATACCATCATCATCATCACCTCATCACCATCATCATCAACAGCATCATCATCATCACCATCATCATCATTATCATTATCATCATCATCATCGGGACACCATCATCGTCACCATCATCATAAACATCATTATCATCGGGACACAGTAATCATCATCATCACCATCATCGGAACACCACCATCATCATCATCATCATCTCATCATCAACATGAACAACATCACCACCATCATCATCATCAGCAACATCATCATCATCAACAGCATCACCATCGGGACACCATCATCATCACCATCATCATCATCAGCGGGACACGATCACCATCATCAACATCAGCATCATCACCACCATCATCGGGCCACCATCATCAAAATCATCATCATCACCTCATCATCATCCTCATCATCAACATCATCATCATTATCATCACCATCATCGGGACACCATCATCGTCATCATCATCAAAAGCATCAGCTTCGACCTCATCATGATCATCATCGGGACACCCTCATCATCATCATCATCATCATCATCATCATCATCATCTTCATCATCATCATCATCATCATCTCATCATCATCTCATCATCATCAACACCATCATGATCATCAACATCATCATGAGCATCGGGACACCATAATCATCAGCAACAGCATCATCAACATTATCAGAATCGGGACACCATCATCACCACCATCACATCATCATCATCAACATCGTCAACACCACCATCATCATCATCATCATCATCATCATCATCATCATCATCATGATCATCATCATCATCATCATCATCATCTTCAACACCATCGACATCATCATTATCATCATCATCGTCATCATCATCGGGACACCGACGGGACACCGGCGGGACACCGGCGGGACACTGCGCCCCAACGGACGCCAGAAGGGAGTCATTTGGTCCGGCCGCGCCTCAGCCGGAGGCGGGACACCGGCGGGCCCCACCGGTTGCCGGAAGGGAGTCATTTGGTCGGGCCGCGCCTCAGCCACAGAAGATTTTCCTTTCGCCCGCACACGCAGCTTCGCCTCGCCCGCACGCACGGCACGCACGAACACGAAACCGAAATTGATTTCCCCGTAGGGGGGCTCTCCGTTCCACTTCGATCTCACCCTCTCACCTCCGATCAAAGGCTGGCTCGCGTACCGCGATAGCGACAAAGAAACCTCCATTCGTGTTGAGCATGCAAAGTCTCCGATATATTCTGCTGCTGTTGGCTGTTCACTTTCTCTACCGCTTGAGTTCGCATCAGCCACTCACATCGATTGTTCCTGCATTAACGCTTGCACCGCTATCTCCAGCGCTCCAGGTGGCGGGCTGCCGATCTTGACGATTACGCCTGAGGCCACGATCGCCTTGATGATGTGCAGGCGCAGCTCGGCTATCGTGATCTGCTGCGGAATCTGGCTGCCGTTCCTTGTCTTGTCTTTGTAGCGCTGCGTGAGCGCTGTCCTCGTGTACGGGCTGATGGCGATGGGGTTGAGAATGAGGTGCAGCTTCGCTTCGTCCGCCTTCTGCGCGTTCTCGTTGAACGTCCTCTTGATTCTGAAGTGTCGTACCAGGTCGTCCAGCTCCTCCCTGTCCATCACGGCTGCCAATTTCACGAACCATCCTAGAATTTGTTGCGCATCTTCTAGCAAGCCTTGCATCTTCGCGAGCGTGGGAATAGTACACCCGAATATGTGCAGATGCCGGGGTCCGAGATCTTTCTTGCCCTCCTCGGTGCATAGTCGATGGTATTCCTGACCCATACGCAGTCCGTCCGCTACCACTGGGTGCACCAACGCCAGGAGCAGACAATCCCACAGTGCTCCCATGAGAATCCGCAGCGTCTGTGTGTTGTTGAGCGCGAGCTTCTGCAATGTGAATACCCTCTCCTTCATCGTCGCATCCACATCGTCTCCTGAGTTAGCTCCATCCCCCTTGCCTCGTTGGCGCTTGAGTCCGCGACCTCCTTTGGCGCCTCCTTTGGTTGCTGCCGATGACCCTGCTGCTGCTTGAGGCGGGAGGCTGATCATCCACGTCGCCATCATTGGGTCCAGCTGCGGGATGCTTGTGGTCGAGGTGTGATGCTAACTCTGGTGTGGTAAAGTCGCACCATGCACACGTGTATGTAGATGCCGCCGTCGGCTTAAGCTCGAATGAAATGGCTCTGGATGGGCATCGCATGGGACTCGAACGTGACACGGTCCAAACATGACGCACACAACAAGCTGAGGAGGAGGAGGAGGGGGTAGGAGGAGGAGGAGGAAAGGGAGGAGGAAGATAGGGAGGAGCAGGAAGAGGAGCAGGAAGAGGAGGAGGATGGGGTTGGGAGAAGGAGAGTAAGGGCTGTGCTCATTCTTGCACTCGCACTGCTCTGAAAGACCACCTGGGAACAGACAGGCTTAACTAACGCATATGTGCATCAGACATGACGTACAACCATCATGCTAGTATATGCTGGCCACGATTGCAAGTATAGGGCGTGCCACACCGTATTCTCGACTATGCTCTGGCTGTCTGCACACCTGAGCCGACGGCCCAACCAGTGCGGGGAATTGGTACTAACCGACTGTGCACCACTGCATGAAGAGGGAGTCGCTGCGTTACACAAACTCGGATCGCTGGGGCGCCACTCTGCGCACAATGCCAGGCCAAAGCACCCGAAACCAAAAGGGGATTTGTCAAGATTGACGGGAGACGCGTCGCCGAGTTGTTTAAAGTTGACAAAGTTATGGAATCGTTCAGCGACGTTTAGAGCACAGCGAGGAACAACAGCAAAACATTGAACAACGAGTGTGATAAGGGGGGAGGAGGTGTGATTCCCATTATGCGGCAAGTTGCCGTTCCGCTGCCACAGTGTTGTCCCTCTCGGTCCCGGGACGCAGGGTCGCTGATGTGCCGTGCTCTCTAAGCATCCGTCTGCCCCCTTTTCGCACCGTCACGCGCTCCGTCGTGGGTCTTCGATCTGTTCTCTCGACGTGCTCCTCTGTTGTTCTCCCCCCTCGGAGGCATACGCTTCTCATCTGCTCCGAATTGTCTCTGGGAGGGGGGAGGGAGTGGAGGAAGAACAAGGAGGGCGCTTGAGACGGAGGGAGGAGGCGGAGCAACAGGGCGGAGGGAGGGTGTTGAAGCCTCGTGCCAGGCGTCTACGACGTGACAGATTTTGCCCCCGTGCACCCGGGGACCGCCCCCGCGCCGCGGGGCCGGGAGGGACGGCGCGGGTGTGGGGGGGGGTCGAAGCAGTGCGAGGGCCACGGAAGGAACGCGAATACGCCGAACCCCACAGCGTCCGTTTGCTGAACAGTCGAAGAAGCAAGAACATTTACATGCGTATACATGAGGTGTTGGGAGGTCGGGGCGGATGTCGTGGGTCGACGTTGGACCCCCTTTCCTTAGAACAGGAGGAGAAAGACAACGAACAGAAGCCCCCTGACGCTTGTTTTCAGGAGGAGGTCTGGAAGCGATAGGCGGACTTAATGTTGGAGGAGAAAGCCCCCCGAAGGGTTTGCGCGAGGAAGGCGGTGGTGACGCCATCGAAGGTGGCGACGGTGGTGGCCGCGGCGACACAGATGTGAGCTGGAGGACGGGACGAGCGGGGAGGGAAGAGGAGGCGGAGGTTGACGACAAGGAGGAGGAGGAGGAGGAGGAGGAGGAGGAGGAGGAGGGGCGTTGGCAGTTCTGTCCGTTGCAGCAGCAGCGGAAGGGGGGGGGGGGGGGGGGGGGCGAAACTGAGGTGGAGGGAGAAGTCTGGGGCAGTGGCAGAAGGGCAAAAACATGTGCAGGAGGACGCGGGGAAGCCGGCGGAGACAGAGGGAGACGAGGAAGTGTGGTGGCCCCAGTCCCATTTGTTCTGCTCTGCTTTCGCTCCTCTTCTCTTGTCCTTGCCGTATGTACTAGGTTCAGCTACGACCCAGACAAGAATGACGAACGCGACAGCGACGAGGAAGACGAGCAGGAAGACGACCACGAACACGACGACGATGACGACGCTGACGACGACGACGACCACGACGACGACCACGACGACGACCACGACGACCACGACGACCACGACGACGACCACGACGACGACGACGACGACCCAAGCAGGAGCGACACGCTGCTGCGGGCCACGGAGGTGGCGGACGCCACCGCCCTCTTCGACAGCATCGCCCACTCGCGGCAGGCCCGGCGGCTGCTCCGCGGCATGGCTGTGCCCGGGCTGGAGGCTCAGCCGCGGTCGTCGTCCCGGCCGCCCGCGGGGGCGACTCAGAGGAGGAAAGGGCACCATTCCCGTTGTTCCTGCTCCGTTTTCCTTTTTTTCGGCTTCCTGGGAGTCGTCGCCACGTCTGGACTCCTTTCGAGGTCCTGGTCAAAACGCACCCCAGGAGGGCTCCGGATCGGGACCTAGTTTGGCCCCCCAGAGACTTTTCGGCGGATCGAGGTTCGAGGCTCCCGGGCGGCTTCCCATCCTGGGGATGCTTCCCGGCGGCCTGCGCCTCGCCGAGGGCGTTCACAGTTCCCCGATCGTCCCGCACGGCCGCACGGCCTCCGGAGACCCAAGGTATGGCTCGGGCCCTGCTCAGGAGTGACCTCTGGTCCTAAACCGTTGGGGTCCCCCGATTGCCCAATGCGATTCCGACTCGGCGGCCTGCGCGTTTGGGTTGCTCCCACCTCCACAGCGCGCACCCTGAAGACGCCTACCGAAGGTCACTCTTGCCTGATGAGGGGTCGCTCTTGGAGGCGTCGCGGCCGACCTCTGCGCGGGCATTGTGAGACATCTGGACGCCCGAAATTGGTACGAAAGACTGGGCACGATGCACAGAGGCGAGTGTTGTCCAAAACCAGCAGCGGCTTCTGTCGGGCAGTCGGCCTTCTGTCTCACATGGACAGCGCCCACGGCGACGCCGACAGCGAGTCCTGTCCAAAATGGTCAGGACTTGCTGTCCATCTTTGTCACCATTTTTCCTGTACCCATGCCGAGCGTACCCGAGGACACTCTCGCAGGTGGGAGCCCAGGGGAGGAGGGCGGGCCGGGCACGAGCACCGGTCCTGAGTGAAAAGCGAGGACGGTTGCAGGCGACCAAGAGGGGGTGTCGTTGATTCTTGTGGGTTGTCGCGCCTCGGGATGCTTCCCAGCAGCTGCGCCTCGCGGAGGTCGTTCCAGGAGTGGTCTTGCGGTCCTCCTGGCCCATCTTGGGGCCGTGCCGGGAGCTTCTGGGGCCGTCTCGGGCTGCTTGAATCCCGAGAAACCAAAAAAACAGAAAAATGCAACAACCTCAGGGGAATCAACGATTTTGATTTCTTCGGGCCCACCTGGATGGCCTCTTTGAAGCCATGTTGGGCCGCATCGTGGGCATGTTGGGCCGTCTTGGGATCATCTGTGGCGGTCTCGGAGGCGTCGTGGGACTGTCTTGGAGGCCATGTTGGGCCATCTTGGAGGCTAGTTCTCTTGACTTTACATTTTGCCCAGGGCTTCCTTGATGATCCGAAGGCCATTCGGTTTGTTCGGGAGGGCAAGAACGTTTACCAGAAAGTTCCGCACGCCAAGCAATCCAAAGCAAGCAGAAGGGGGCGGCGGGTCTAGTGGCCGTCAGTCCATCACCGTGCCTGTTGGATACCTGTTGGGGTAGATTGGGATGCATCTCGGGGGTCTCTTGGAGGACTCTCGAGGGAGCTTTTTGGGCCTCTGGGGGGCCTTCTTGGAGGCCTCTTGTGCTCTTGGGGTTGCTTTTGGAGACGCTTTTTGGGGGCTCTCTCTCTCCCCCTCTCTCCCCCTCTTCGGGACATCTTGTGCCGTCTTTGGGGCCCAGGAGGCCTCCGGGGGTGGAAAATAAGAGAAAACGTCAAACGATGTTGTCCTCAATTATCGAAGCTTGACGGCGATCGGCGACGGCGGACCTCGACAGCTGCCGACGACGACGACGACCACGACGACGACGGCGACGGCGACGACGACGACGACGGCCGACGACCGACGACCGACGACCGACGATCGACGACGCCGACGACGACGACGGCGACGACCGACGACGGCGTTAAGGGGGCAGACGCACCGAACCCTGATTCCCCATTGATCGACGATAAGAGCCCAATAGAGCACCCCCGCCCAGGATCGCGCTGATTCGCTATCGGGGGCTTGTCGCCGATCTCTCGGCGATGCACCTCCGGTTCCAGGTCGATGTTCCCCCTCTTGAGTTGGTCCCCCCTGGAGTTGTCTCTCTCAGATTGCTGACGCCGCCGCAGACGATGACGACGGAGACGACGAGCTGGCGAAGCGCCCCCCCGAGTGAGGCCGTCGTGCCCTGCGACGCGCTGCTCCCCATACGGCGCGGCCGCGGCCGCCGAGTGTGTCGCCGTCGTCGTCCTGCGCGAATACGACGACAAGGACGGCGACGCCAACGGCGACGTCGCTGCCGTCGTGGCGGGCGCCGCCGTCGCCACCGTCGCCGCCTGTCGCTGCCGGCGTGGCCGGCCTGCCCGACGACGACGAGCACGAGGACGAAGATGGCGACGTTGCCGCCGTCACCGCCGTCGTCGCCGTCCTGCCCGACGATGCCGACAACTACGAGTACAATCGGCGGCGCGCCCCGCGGGGGCGGCAGGGCGGACCTTCTCTGAAGGCTCGGAAGGCCTCCGACCTTCCTCTGAGCCTTCTCCGGAGCCGCACAGGGCCTTTCAGAGGCCGAGAGGGTTCTTGAGACAGTCCTGAGACAGAGGCCACGCCGACTTCTGAGAAGGCCTGCCCCCTCGGCCTCCCCCATGGGCGCGCCGCGGAGTCCTGCCTGGCAACGACGACAAGTACGACAACGACGCCGGCACCAGCGATGTCGCGGGCATTGTCGTCATCCGTTGTCGTCGTCAAGTCGTCGCCGCCGCCGTCGTCTTCGTCACGTCGAGCCCCCTTCCCTTCGCCGATCCTCGCCCTCCTCAGTCGTCGCCGATCCTCGTCCCCCCCCGCCGCCTCGCCGAAACTCGCCCTCCTCGTCTGCTGTTCCTCGCCGCCCCCCGCCGCGGCCGATGGGAAGGAGCCAGGGGACCCGGCCCCCGGCGGCGCGAGGTGCCGGCCAGAGACCGCGGCCGGGCGCCTCCAGGTCCTGCTCTGCTCGGCCGCCGAGCGGCTCGGCCCCCGGCGCTCCCTAGCCGTTCGCACGCGAGCAAGGGTCGCCATGCAGGGGCAACGTTTTAGGGGGATAGGCTTAAGTCGGACTTGTCCCTCAACACGAGGAATATTCAACAGCAGTCGACAGTTGTCTGGGGACGATTTCTGGCGAATTTTCATTTCTCATTTAAAGTCCCTCTGTAGGGGGACATGCCCGACCTAAGGCTAGGCTCAGGGGGGGGGGGGCGATGCATCAACCCCAACCCGGCCATTTTATCGCCCGTAGGGTCGGGGGAGCGTAAGACCCGGGTTTGCCAGGACTCGGGTTCGCCATCGTTTTTTGACGACCGCGACTCGGATTTTGACGAGGAGGAGTTTTGTGGGATGTCTGCAGCGGGAGGCCTCGTCAAAATGCAGGCTCGGCCTCGTCATTTTTGTCGACGACCTCGTCGGGGATTTCCGAGTCCCCCGTACCCGGGCCTTACGTCTCCCCGATGGGGGCCTGATACGGTAGCCCATCCGCCCAGGAGCGCGCGGGGATTCGCTCTCGGGGCCCGTCGCCCCGAGCCGTGGGCGATGCATCGCCAGTGCCAGCTCGATGCTTCCCCCATTGATTCGGGGGAGCGTAAGGCTAGGGTAAGCCGGAACTCGGGTTCGCCGACGTTTTTTGACGAGCGCGCCCCGGATTTTGACGGCCCGGTTTTCGTGGGATGTTTGCAGTGGGAGCTCGCGTCAAATTTCAGATTGCGTCTCGTCATTTTTATGATGGGCCCCGTCAGGCCAACCCGCGTCCCCCGTACCCGAGTCTTACGTCTCCCCGATTGATGTGGTTCCCTCTGGAGCTTCCCATCAGGGAAAGAGGTCGTTTGTTGCGGCGTTGCTCGATGCGGCTCCGGTCGGTTCTGATGTCGCTGTCGTTTCGTTCGGTTTTTGCTTCTGTCGCGATGAAGGGCCCTGCTGAGTCTTGTCGTTGTTTTTGGTATCCGGGGGGCCTTTCTGTTGATGGGCGTCCTTGGGGGTCCTGAGGCAGTCGAGGATCGAGGAGGAGGGAGGATCGAGGATCGAGGAGGGCTCTTGGGAGTCCAGCGGGGTCCCGTTTCCTCGAGGAGGTGGAGAGTCCCCCTTGGTGGTGACCCCCCCCATTTTGGCGCTGCCCGCGCGATTTTGCCCGCGGCCCTCTCGCCTCCTCCTCGTCCTCCTCCTCCTCCTCATCCTCCTCCTCCTCCTCCCCTCCTCCTCCTCCTCCTCCTCCTCCTCCTCCTCCTCCTCCTCATCTCATCTCATCCTCAGGCTGGTGGGGGGGGTACTGAGAACTGGGGGTTCCCAGAGCGGCTCAGTGGCTGCACTGCTGGGTGAGCTGGGTACGCCCGCATCTTTAGGGGGGGGGGGGCCTTTTGTCCGCGGCGCGTCCAGGGCAGAGGGGGCGGGGGCCACCTCAGCAGGCTCAGGAGGCCTACGGCCTTCTGAGAAGCTTGTCAAGCTTTCTCCGAAGCCACAGTGGGCTTCGAAGGCCAGAGGGCCACAGGGCTTCTGAGGAGCACCACCGCTTTTGAGAAGGCTTGCTCCCTCTCACTCCCCCCTGGGCGTGCCGCCCAACGGTGATATTTCTTTTGCACTGCGACGTGGGGCTCCTCGCTGATGCGACGCGAACTCGGCACGGATTCGACGCGCGCTCGGCACGGGAGTGTTGGCGCGATGGGGCAGACGAGGTCCTCCAAAAAAGCGCAGCAGAAAGTTAGTGGGAGTGCGGGATGGGTGCGCTGGTCTTGGGGGGCCTGTGCCTCCCAGGACGATTCGGGCGTCCACGCGCAGAGCGTGGGTCTCCTCGCGGACTTCTCGGATCGGCGTTGGACCCCTGTGCCTCGTCCATAGGTTGCTTGGAGGGCTCGCTCTGTGAGCTCTCGTCTGCTTGTCGGGCTAGCCTGGGCAAGAGAGGATATGGCACGACTTTTTTTCTTGCCAGCGCGCGCGTAGGATCGAAGAGTAGAGAGGAAGCGAAAGTGCCCTTTGCCATCTCATCAGGGGCAATGTGAGAGGGAGATCGGCCCAGGGGGGACACATCGACCCCCAATCGTCAATTCATCGCGCCGATTGGATTCGGACTGTCCACCCCGTCCAGGAACGTGTGAAATCGCTACCTGGGGCCGATCGGCGATCTATCGGCGCTGTATCGCCAGTTGCAGTTCGATGCTTCCCCCTCCAGGAAGGAGGAGGAGGAGGAGGAGGAGGAGGAGGAGGAGGAGGAGGAGGAGGAGGAGGAGGAGTCGAGGAGTCGAGGAGTCGAGGAGGAGGAGGAGCAGGAGGAGGAGGAGGAGGCTGTGGAGGTCATGAAGGAGGCAGAGAACGAGAAGGAGGAGGAGGAGACGGAGACGGAGACGGGGGAGAAGGAAGAGCAAAGGACAGAGGAGAGGAGGACCAGCAACAACACGAGGAGGAAGAGGAGGAGGAGGAGGACGGCGCCAGGCCTCCCCCTCAGCATCGTTCCCCCTCGTCTCGTCCAACACGAGTTTCGTATCGGCCGCCCAGAGGCCCTCCGGGGCAGGGGGGCGGCTGCGGCGTGCGCGGCCCGAGGCTCTGCCGCGAGCTCTCCTCTGCCCCGCAGCGGCTGCGGCGCCTGGGAGCCGGCGCGCCCCCGCGGCGGGAGGTGTCAGCGGGTGCCCCTGTCATGTTCGGGGGTTGCTGAAGGTGCCCCCGGTCAGTGGCCACATGTGAGCCCCCCCCGATTTCTGAGGAGGGGTGGGGGTTCACTTCGCTCGGGACCTCCCAAAAGAAATGAACCCCCACCCCCCTTAGAAAGCGTGGGGGTTGGGGGTAGGGTTCACATGTGGCCACCAACTTGGCCCCAAGGTGCCCCCCAGCTCTTCGCTCCAGTGTGGGGCCCCATGGCGCTCCCTGGGCCTCGTGAGGGGTGCCCTGAAGGCCGTGGGGGCCTCCTTGGAGATGCTGGGTGCACCTTGGGCCCGGGTCACTTCTGGCAACACCCGACCTGTCGTTGCCCCTCCTCTCCTCCGCCCACGATGCCCCTCTCGTTCCCCGCCTTTCTCTTCCTAGCTCCTCTGCCGGACCGCCTCTTCTCCGCGCGTTGGGCCGGGAGGAAGAGGAGGAGGAGGATCAGGGAGCACAAAGAGCAGGACGTTGCCAAAGGTGTCCTTGGCCCCGACGTTCAAAATAGAACAATCCGCATAAACAAAATATATTTGAAGGTCCGCGCGGATGTCTTGGATCGGCGCCGGTGGCAAATTTTCCTTCTTCCCTCCCTCCCTCTATCCCTCTTCCGCCTCCGCCCTTCGTGCTCAATCGCTGCGGGCGTCTCGTCGGTCGTCGTGTCGTGTCTTTGCCGTCTTCGTCCGTCGCCGTCGTCGTCGCTGGTGGCCGCATGTTAGTCTTTCTGCCTGGACCTCTGTGCCCCATGCGTGGGCGCGCGCGAGGCCAACCCAGAATCCCACAGTCATTGTGCGACCAGAAGGAGCTATCAATAAGGAGCACACAGATCGTCTGGCCACAACGAACTTCGGCAGTGAATAGGTCCTTTTGACTTAGATCTAAGAAACGGCCCGAAATCTGGAGCCCTTCCCGAACCCGCTGCCGCCCATCCTCCTCGCGCACAGGCCGGAAGTTGCTGTCGCCCGTGCTCAGGACCCCCTCGCGCGCACGCCCCCGCCCCGCTGGGAGGCAGCGAGCATCCAGACTTCTTCTCGCTACTAAGAAGGTCACGACACCAGACTTCCAAAGATACGAATTTTCCCTATAGCGTGTTGCTCGAAGGTTTTGATATTCCCACAGGCGGGACGGATAGCCCCACACCTCCCAGTCAGGCAGCCGTTTCGCTTGAGACTTCTTTTAGTTCTCTCGCCCCAATGCCAGCTACGCTGTTGGTCCGGACGGTCACGATCTCGTTTTCAAGAAACACACCCGGAGTTGCACATGGCCGTTTTCTGACCCTCGTGTTTTGTAGCCGATGTCCGACTCTTTGACCCGCTTGTTCCAGTTGTTCTTGACAGTGCGTTTTGCTTGTTGAAGTAAACTGAATAGAAGCATAGGGTTTGGTGATGTAGGTTGCCCAGCAAATTGGTTATCGTTCGCTAGAGGGTGCGAAAACTGTTTATGGTTCGCTAGACCACAGGAAATTCGAATAACAGTGGAGATGGGAAGACCTAGATCGCATGGTCCGGCCGCCGTTTCGCCCGGGAGCCCCCCCACAATTGGTTGAGGAGTCGCCCTCTCGCTTCAATGCTTGTGACATGTTTGGTCGGGACGGCCACGATCTCTTGTAAACAACTCGGAGCACATGACCTTGCGTTTTCTAGGAATTCCTAGGGCAATCCACGTTTTCGTTGATTAGCCGACCGCTTACTTCTCGACCCGCCTCTTTACCTTTGATGCGATGGGTGCTGTGCCGAGGTAGTTTTCATCCAGGCGCTTTCCCATCGTTCGGCTTATGGGCGCGTTAGCGGACCCTGGGGCAATCAAAATATGAATCGGAGGCGAAACATTTGCCCATTTGGAAGGGGTCGGGACCGCTGAGGCCCCGCATTGAAATTATCTTGGCGAAGGACACCACCACATGTAGTTGTGGGAACCGCGGTTGTGAGCATCGTCTTCGGTAGAGCTCTGTATGGGCCCACAAAGCGTGTGAGGGAAGTGCCAAGACGGGGCGGCGCCGCCATGCAGACTGCGCCGCGGGGGCCTGCGGTGGAGCTCCGAAGGGGGCCACGGAGCGTGTGAGGGTGTGCGACATGTGGCGGCGTCGACATGCGAATTCTGCCGCTGGGGCCTTCGGTGGAGCCCCCCATGGGGCCACGAACCGTGTGCCACGAATTGCGTGAGGGATACATTAAAATGATGCGGCCATGCGAACCCTGCCAGTGGGGCGTTCAGTGGAGCTCCCCATGGGGCCACGAAGCGTGTGAGGAGTGCACAAAATGGGGCGGCGTCGCAATGCGAACTTTGCCGCTGGGGCCATCGGTGGAGCTTCCCATGGGGCCACAAACTGTTAGAGAGGTTTGCCAAGATGGGGCGGCGCCGCCATGCGAACTTTAACCTTGGGGCCTTCGGTGGAGCTCCCTATGGGCCACGAACCGTACGAGGGGGGCTCCCAATCGGGGCTGCGCCGCCGTGCGAACTTTGGTGGTGCTCCCTGTGGGGCCACGAAACGGGCGAGGGGTGCACCGAAACAGACACCTGCGGAGGGCAGAGGGGAGATAATGGGAGGATGAAGGAGGGGGAGGAGGGAGGTGAGGTGACGCGGGGCGCTGTCTATTCAAAACGAGGACCCGACACCACAGGACGTTTTAGAAGCATCAGGTGTTTGCAACGCTGTGATGGGAAGTCTGTTCTTTCGTGCTCGTCATTCGGAGGCCCCCGCCCCCCTCTGGGAAGGGACCGAGACCTTCAGGGGCCCACGATGTGAAAAAGTCAAGATGCTGGAGCTCTGGGAAGGTTCGAGGTTCGATTTTTTTCTTGTGTATATATATATATATATATATATAATGTCGGAGTGTTGGGGCCCCCGGCCCCCCCGGGACAGAATGACAAATGGGGCCACCCCCTGGGTAACCCCATTTAGCCTCCGGAGCCGGGGACCTGTTTTGTGCCCGTTGCGGGCTGGTCTCACCCCCTGGAACGCTCCATGGACGGGCCAATATGCCTTCCGGACGGCCCAAGATGGAATCAAGACGGCCCAAAAGGCTCCCAAGACGCCTCAAGAGGCCCCCAAGAGGCCCCCCAAGAGTGCCCCAAGAAGCAAAAATCGTCCCATTCCTTTCGGGAGACGTAGATTTTTAGCATATTCGCCTCTTGGGTTTTCACAGCGTCCACGATGGCCCAAGAGGCGCCCAAAACGGCTCAGGAGACATCCAAGAGGGCTCCAAGACAGCCCAAGAAGGGCCCAAGACGGCCGAAGAGGCCTCCAGGACGGCCCCAGAGAGCCCCTGAACGAGCCCAAGATGGGTCCCAGAGCAAGAAAATCAAGTTCAAATTTCGAGCCTTCGGCCCCAGGAGGCACCCAAAGGCCCCAAGACGACCCAAGAGGCCCCCAAGACGCCCCCAAGACATCCCTAAGAGGTTCCCAGGAGGCCCCAAAGAGGCCCAAAAGCTGCCTGCAATACACTTCCGAGAGGCTTCGAAGATGCATCCAAGACGCTCCCCAAGAGGCACCCAAAATTGGCTCCAAGATGCTCCCAAAACGTATACGTTTTATACAAAAGTGCTGCAACGCATATGTTCTTTCATGGATTTCACGCTCCCTGATGGCGCCCCAGAGGGCCACGCGGGGCCAACTTCTTTGATTTTTGCTCGGATGCTGAAGGTTTTCCATGTTGCCCCCTTCTAGAGCTTCCTGCGATCCAACACAGCCCAGGCGGCTCCGACGACCGCCCCGAGGCACCTTCTGCATCTCTCCCTCGCGCCCAAGCCCGCCCAAGAGCGCCCCGACAGCGCTACACAAAACGGCCAGGAGGCATCCAAGAGAGGTTCAGAACGTACCCAGCACGAGGAAACCAGGTCGCCACGACCCCGAACCTGCCTCCCCAAGAGCTTCTGGAGGAGCCCAAGACGGCCCAAGAGGGCCCCAAGAGAGCGCAAAATGGCCCGCGCGCGCCCGAGATGGCCCAAGAAGGCTCTTAGGTGACCTTAGGAGCCCAGGAGGTCCCGAGATGGATCCATTTGCCTGCGGATGCCCAGAAACGCCATGGCCCGCAGTATGAATTTAATGACACGCGCTGGAACAGTCCGCAACACGCTGTCATGCCCTCCCCCCAACATCTGCCGCCAGTCCAAACTGCACTTTCTAGGTTCAACTCACCCTCCAGCGCTGCTGTTTCGAGGCGAGTCCAAGTTGGCGCAACTTGCGGCATCCACGCATTCAATCACTGCATGGTTCCTGTGAGCAAAATTCGATCGCAGCCGCAGTCCACGCCTGCCAAAGCACAGTTCGAACACGCAGCCCTCGCAGCACGCCTCGGGGACGCTCATGCGAACCTCATCGAACCCGGCGGATGCAACTATGAGATCGCAACTCTTACATGCAATTTCACCCGCCAGAACGCTGCGATTTTTCCTTTAACGGCAGAAGACATTCAAGAACGCTTGGGCCACCCGTACGCTCCGCACTGCACGGTAGAAGGCGCATTTACTATTGCCACTTTCCTGATTCGCACACCTTCTGCAGGGGGTCATTGGATAGCATTGCTGCCGATCGCGCACGCCCACGGATTCGAGACTGCGTCTGCAACAGCGTTGCTGTATGATTCCTTGCACGCTTCCCCTCACTGCGCACAACTTCAGGATGTGGAACATATTTTGGCGATCTGCGCCTTTGAAGCCTCGCGGGCCGCCTCTCGACAGTGGCAGTGTTTCTTGATCGGCGCTCCCACGCATTATGCCCAGTCTGGTAGTTAAGCATCACATCGCGCACTGTAGAAGAAAAGCTGAAGCCTGCTGCTGCCACCACAATAAAACAACTGCCTATCTACTCCTGCCCAGTAGCTACCAGCATTCTTCCACACAGTCCTGCCGAAGCGTTAGTGCGCCACTTCTGTGTTTTCGACGCCGAACCACCCTGCTGCGACGCTGACGCGCGCATGCGGGCGCAGGATTTCAGAGCTTCCGCGCTTGGGCAGCTGTCCTGAACAGTCGTCTCATGCACCTGTTCGCGCGCACGCTCCTCAACGTCTCAGGGCCGACGGGCTCCTGTTTCCTGGTCGGCAGGCGACGCGCGCCAAAGTATACAGGAAAGCGCGCGTCGTGGCAGCGCTATGCCATTCGCGCGCGGCTTGTACCGAGGAGCACATTTGTAATCTATCTAACTGAAGCCCTTGCCTTGCGTGATTCGGCGAAGTTGGCTACTGCAACGCGACCATGGCGAAACGCATGGCGCGTCGTTTCTCCCGACTTCAGATTTGTTCGCTGCGACTGCCCTGGACCGACTTGCCGAGAGCGCTGACGGAAAAAAAACGTTGGCGCACTTTGTGGGAACATTTTTTGCGCGCGCTCACCGTTGGGCTCGATATCCGGAGGGTTGCGCCCTGTACCGCCAGCCCCCGAGGCTGACCCACGCACCGACCATTTTGGGAGCAGCTTTGGCGCAATGGCGCGGCATTTCGGCAGCATGTTCGACAAGCTGGAGCCGGTTTTGGACCATATTTGGTGAATTGTTGGGCCCACCTTGAAGGCTCCTTGGAATTATCTTCGGGGTTCTTTGAACCATATTGGGCGGTTCGGGCGAATTTTTTGGAGCCTCTTGGAGGCCGCGTCAAGGCAGCCTGGGCATCATCGGTGGCTCTAGAGCCGTTTTGAATTATCTTTGGCCGTTGTCATCGTCATCATCGTCCTCATTGTGTCGGAACACAAAGTGGCTCGCGGGGCGAGCGCGCCAGTGGAATTATTAACCTTGCTCCCGAAATGTTTGGCCTGGCGGCCGGGCGTGCATGACGATCTGGACGGTGCCCCCGTGGACTCACCTGAGGAGGAGGAGGAGGAGGAGGAGGAGGAGGGGGAGGAGGAGGAGGAGGAGGAGGAGGGGGAGGAGGAGGAGGAGGAGGAGGAGGAGGAGGAGGAGGAGGAGGAGGAGGAGGAGGAGGGAGGAGGGAGGAGGGAGGAGGGAGGAGGGAGGAGGGAGGAGGGAGGCCAAACACTGT